CACTTAGTCACGTGGAGATTTAGCTATTGCAGTGAGGCTTATGACGACTTTATTCAATGGCAAAAAGAAGGCAGCAAAGGACAAACCTGACAAGACAGTCTTGTTCTCCAGTGAGGTGATAATTCTTGAATCCGGAATACCAGTCCACCGGCACTGTTCTTGAACAACATCTGTTTGCCACCACCAATCAACTGACCATCCAATTTGGTCTCAATGTCCTTGACGTGCCGCACAGCATCCACAGTATCAAGGACGGCATAGATTCGTAGACTACAGTCTGTGGAGCTTGTAAATCTACTTGCAAAGGCGATAAGTCGTAGACGTTTTGAAAGAGGTGGAGGAATAGCTGGTGGAAGGGTGTCATTGGTTGTCTCTGTCGCCATACTACTTCCACTGTGATTCTCACTACAGTCTGTGGAGATGCCCATTCGAGCAGCACCCACAAGAAGGAGGTTTGGGCTAGTTGGCGCAAAAGTCGCCGCCTGACCGATGAGACAGAAACGCAGCGGATATTGGGTCATGAGGTGCGCCTGGCTACCACTCAGATGGCAGTGTATTGGGTCACGTGCTTGTTCCTGACCCACTTGGGCTACTTCCTGTGAAATAAAGTGATCAGACGGATTAGTAATGCTGATTTCGGCAATCGCGAGCTTCGCACTCGTGCAGAGGTTAAATGGAGGCTGCTTTTGATTCTGCCTTTGCTGTAATCCCCGTTATCGGATCAGCAGATGTACCTATTCAAAATTCCTATCACCATATCGCCAAACGAATGTCCAAGCGATGGTAGAAATCGAAAGTCAAATTAACTGGAAAGACTTGATAATGTAACATTTCCAATGTTAAGGCGAATATTTGCAACTCGGAAACATAAATACACTCATTTTTTGAAGCAAAATAGTTTAACCTTTATGCAGTGAGGCACGTTTGAAACAAATTTGGTGCCTAAATCACTATCCGCTCTAGACAGCAAGTAAGAAGTTGATGTTATGGATCGCCTCACCCTCCATGACCACTCTATGGTGGAGGAATCGGAGCCCTTGTAAATGGAGTCGAAGCCAGAAGTACTGCAGTAGCAATGGATGCTGAAGGACCAGGCGCTCTGTCCCGTCATGTTGGCACAATGTGGAAAGGTTACAATCACGGGTTTAGCGAGTGGAGCTCCAGGGAGACCGATTTGAATGACCGAACTTAGTAGTGTCTGGTGCTCTACAACATAAGCAGCATTTACGTCATAAAGGGGCTGAAGGAATGATAGCACAATGAAATGGCATTGAAGTGAGTTGCTAGGTCACCTGGATCGAAGGGAGGCAAAAACGCGGTTCATGATGTCCATGATGGTGAAAGGGATTGTGATGCATACTATCAGTCTTCCAACTCCCATCCTGGCTTATAATAAATCCAAGT